GGACAACGCAAATATTATTCCTGACGTGTGTGTGTATATATATATATATATATATATATATATATATAAACACTATAAAAGTGCACTCCATTTACCATTATGATCAAATTGGATTTTGGACATTTGTGCTTTTCGGCAAAAGCACAATAATAAACCCGTTGGATTTACCTGGGGCTTTAAAATGGGGCGGGGCTGCCACTGACAGGTGACTCGCTTGACGTATAGAAAAAAAAAGGTATCGCAGTTTGGTTCAGTAGGAAATCACTCACTTCGTCACCAGCATAACCCCAATGGTAAAATCCCTTTGTTATGTCCGCTTTTCTTTGTCAGATCTGTCGAATTATCTTTTAGATTCAATCGTGCTTGCTTGCTTTGTTTGTCTGCATCGCTTAACGTTAATCGCTGTTTGCAAGCGGCAGTGCAAACACTTGCTGGAGTCGCGTTTACACAACTTGGGCAAAACTGATAAAGTTGAGACTTGTAATTGTAGTAGTGTCCATGGTTCGTTCCTTTTTGTTGCAGTGTTGCCACATCATGGTTGTCCAGCTGCATTGGAAAGTTTGAATAATGATTTTGCGTTATGCGAGAGTTAGTCGAGCCGGCGTTTTGCTTCCGGTTTTGACTGCAGGGATTTGTAGTCCTTTTGTTTGGTTCCACTTGTATGGTTTCTCGTTATGTTGAGACTATGAACCTTGATGATATGATAAATAATTTTGATTAGGCTTAAAACATTACGAGAAATAATGATGACAATGAGAATACATCATGCTAAAATCAATAGGTAGTGATATAATATTATGGTTGATAAAATTATCAAGATGAAGGTATTCAATTAATGAATTCATGTCTATTTTTTACATTGTGATGCACGAAGATGGATACATTATTTTTTGTTGCAATCATGTTAACGCACGCATCGGGTCTCCTGTGGCATCAGGCAGGTGGAAAAACCTGCGATATTTGGAAAAGGGGAAAAGTAGCTTTGACGTCACTGAAGATTCATTCAAGAGCCCAGCCTTCACCCCGACATTGTACCCCTTCAGCACTAAAACCTACCCCGAACCTCAACACTAACCCTTATTTCACTAACCCCTAACTCTAACGGAACCATACCCTAGCCCCAAAGCTCAAACCCCAACCCTAGCATCACCCTAAAAGCCAAACACCAACTGTACCTTAACCCAAAGTCAGTGGCGGTTCTGGGGGGGGGCCAACGGGGGCCAGTGCCCCTGTAGCACTGATTCTGGCCCCCCCTGTGGCCCCCCCTCCGAACGTAGATTACGCAGTGGCGCAGAGTTGCAGACACGAAAGGTGGAACCAAAGTGCGTGGCTTAACATTCTAGTCGGACCCTTTAGTGTGCTGCACCACTTCAAATTGAGCGGGAAAATGAGAAGCAGTCCGCAGAGAAGCAGATTACCACCACACGAGTGCTATTTTCGACATGATTTATATTTTCAATGTAAAATCACAAAACGAAACAAGCCCCCAACAGTAGCATTTTTAAGTCTAATTCCTCTTCACTTAAACATTTAACGTTAAAAATGAAAAGAAAAACTGACATTACATCATATTTCTATATGAAAAAGAAACACATTTATCCAGACACAGAGAGAGAGTCAGATGATGATAGTGGTGAGAGATTTGAAGAGGAGCAAGTTGAAAGCACCAGAGAGGGAGAGTCAGAGGTCAGAGGATTCATTTATTTTCAGAGCGAGGACTCAGAGCAGGAAAGGGATACAAATGCAGATCCTGAGAATTAGGAAGATGAGACTGCAATAGAAGGGGAGTGTGAGACACAGACAGAGGATATTTGCGCTTCCACAAGCACTGGACCATCAGGTATGTGATGCTGAAAATAACACTATCCTGTTCTGTGTGTGTGTGTGTGTGTGTGTGTGTGTGTGCGTGTGTGTGTGTGTGTGTGTAACTTTTTTTAGTATCCCTTTTTATTTTAATTTTTATTTAACAGGAACAATATATAAGACATTGCCTTCTAAAATTTGGATAATTCTATGCATGTAAAACATTTAGCTTCAGTGTATTTGCAATTTTAGTCCCTGGTCAGGCTTGAGAATGTATTAATTTATATTTATTGAATACAATAAAAACTAATTCATCCAATTAATAAATAGCATCAATCAATACATTTTAGACACTTGTATATGTCTGAGAGCCTCAGCAATCTAAGTGTACCGGGTTAGTGTATATGCTGTGTCCATGCAGAACTTGTGTTTACATTTATTTGGTTTGTCTTTGTCCACAGACATCAGTCGATGTAAAGAGGACCCGCCAATGCAGCCAGAGCTAAAACAGTTTCCCAGGACCCTGATGGGGGACAGGAGAAGGAGCTTCAAGGCAGGCTGGTACAATATCCACCCCTGGCTAGAATATTCTCAACAGATGGACTAGGCGTATTGTTACGCTCGCAGATATTTTAGCCCTCCTAATACTGTTTTTTTCTCATCACTGTAATGTTATGACTACATTGCTTTCAAAGTTTGATGAAATAAAAAGTCAAATAATATTTCGAATCTGTCTTTTTAGCCCTGGGTTGAATGTGCCCCTCCATCAAAACCCCCGGCCCCAGCCCGGCCCCCTCAGTGAAACTGATCTAGAACCGCCACTGCCCAAAGTACTAATCCTCACCCGAACATAACCATCACCGTATGGCCTCCTTTCACTCAGGTGATAGCTTTCCACTTCCTATTTTTCTACCCATGTATGGTACATTCTTTGACTTCCATTTGTCTATGTTTACCAAAACGGGTACGCCCAATTCACTAAACCGCTGTTACTTGGTAGCTCGGCTAGCCAAGCTAAACCTCAAACGTGTGATTCACACCGGGCCCACAATGGTGATGAAGATGATGATGATGCATCGCTTCCCTTACCTTACTGCCGCCGTGTTGCCAAGTGGCGCAGGATTTAGCATCACCGCCACTGGTGTCCATCTGCACACCGGATTTGAAATGTGGCTTCGCTGTGACCCGTCTGTTGTCCGGAGCCTCTGGAGACGCAGCGGAGGCGGGGAGGAGAGCCGTGCCAGGAAACATTCCGGCAGCCTCTGAAATTATGGAGGGGAGCAAAATGTCACCTTTTAGAGCCGGGCTAACTGATGTTTTAACTCTGACCTCGGTCGGTGCTGACGGAGAAGTTCTGTTGCCTTTTGCTTGTATAACACGCAAAAAAATTGGCTGGGTAGCAGCAACCCAATTAATTTTGTTGGGGAGGAGAGTGTGATTCAGCTCCTGATGGTAAATTAGGTTTGCAGTAGGAAATATGGTAAATATGTCTATCCCGAGTAGAGACGACAAAAATAAAGTTGCCTCAAGTCAGGTGTGATGGGAGATCTGTGGAAGGAATAGTGTGTGGAATCTGGCCTCTCAACAAGATCTTTCAACACATTAATATTTTCAAGCTGGAAAGATCAGTGTAGTTTGTACATGATTGATTCATCAATCTGCCCACCACCCACAACCTTTTTCCTGGACTTGTTTGAAGAAACAACTGGTGAGTAAGTGCATTGAAGCACTGCTGAAACCTATAGTCTGATTTGAATTGAGGAAATTGAAAGTTTGGAATCTTGGAGAAATGGTAAAAAAATAAAATAAAAACTTGGTTTGATTGCACCTCAATTTGAACATGTACAGGTGCTCATCAAAAAATGTGAATACCATGGAAAAGTTGATTTATTTCAGTCGTACTGTTCCAAAAGTGAAACTTGTGTCATGCATACCTTCATTCCACACAGATGGATACATTTCAAGTGTTTATTCATTTTAATTTTGATAATCACAGTCGATCTGAAAACTAAGACAACCCCCAAGTTCCCTATCTCAAAACAATTGAATATTGTGAAAATCATATGGATAGTCTGAACTACTATTCTAATTTCCTGAGAGAGAGATTTTTTTTTCATTCGTTCAAGTTTCACGTTTTGAATAGTGTTACTGAAATAAATCAACTTTTTCAAAATATTTAAATTTTATTGACAAGCACCTGTACACTAGGCAGATGGGTAACGAAGAATTTTGTCAGATCGCGTCCAACTTTTGAGTGACGTATACTCGATAGAAGAGTGTGAGCTTTTCGAGCCAGATGACGCCGCTAAGCGCTAACTGATATTTGAGAGAGCTTCTGCTGCCTTTTGTTCGCACGACACGAGAGATTTAAACCGAGTTTGCATGGTAGCATGCTGGTCTGTGAAGCAGCTTACCAAGTGTTGTTTACGCCGACCAAATCCATTTTTTGTTCACCCTGAGGATTATAAAGCCGGCCAGTCTGCCGCGGTGGGATAGGAGCCAAAATAAAGGACTGTGACAACAGCGCATTATCGGTGACACATCTCCTCGATTTCAATTTTCACTTGTCTTCTTCAAGCAAAAGGCCCCAGTTTTTGGTGTGTGTGTGTTTTTGTGTGTGTCCAGTAGAGGGCGCCGTCCACATGCTCACGGAGCACGTCGCCCTCGAGTCGTCCATCTCTCAGACTGCAGAGGACTGATTGTATTGCGTCTAAACATAACCTAAAAATACCATGACGGTACCTCATAATTTAACCTCCCCTAAACCCGCCTAACCTAGCCCTAATCATGTTTTAACCAGTTATCTAACCCAAGCTAGCTCCTAATTTACAAGACTTTAAGACTCAGGGTTTGCTACTCCCTTCAACCAATCCCACTTTTACGTTTTACTTTGAAAACAAATTTTAAATCGTTCTTCAAAAAAAACGTTGATGTTCTTCATGTTATTGTTTTATCCACTCTGTTGTTTTTGAATATTTATCCAGAAATGGGCGCAGGGAAAGGAATAAAGAATGTCCTAAAACGGACCCTTTTAGATGTCTTTTCCTGGATGATAGAGTTGGATGGTATGCTTTACAGTTCTAGTACTGAATCTCTTTCACTGCAGTCATTCGTAGCCCAGAAATAAAATGAAATGTGACATATGCTTTTTTTTCACCACAAGGTACTGTATTGTACTCAACTCAAGGTTTGCTTGGAGGGAAATCTCACCAACTACACTAGTATGTTATCTATCCAGCGTCACTGTGCGAGTTCCGGGTTGAAAGATGAGATGTGACTGTTCAACGCTGCGAGACGACCGGGATAAATTCAGCCTCTCTCACGAGACTTATGACAGCCAATTTTGGCCTTTCACCTTGTCTTCTTTTTTCACCCGCTTTCTGCCGCCACAGTCACGGGACCGCCTCTGAAAATAGCGTCGGGTAAACCCAGATTAAAATGGAGCGATGGTGTTCGTGAACGCCACCACAGAGCAGGTTTCGTACCTAGTCTGCCCCCCCCGCCTTTTTTTTTTCTCCCGCCCGTGCCGTATTGTCCTGTGAGGCGACAGGAAGGCCAGGCCACAGAGGGGAGAGCATATGCCCGCCTTTTGCCTTCCCTTCTGCTCCAGCTACTCACATGTGCGACTTCCTCCCCTTCATCAGCCCACCTGTGCAGATCCAAGACTACAGATTATGTTCAATGCCAGGCCAACAGAGTAGCGGACATGTGAATGTAACTTGATTTGTTTTTTATTTTTTTAGTTTTTGTACTGTATATCAGTTTAATCTGGTATGCGTATTTGCTATCAGAATTGCTTGGTTCCTCATATGCATAAAAAGCCACGATATCGTCAACAAAATTCTGATGAAAAATACGTTTTCATCACAATGCCCAGATCTTCTGTTGTTGTTTTTTTTTTTTTAAAAATTCAGCTCACTGAGCCATTATCACATAGCAACATTAAATTTGGTTGGACTGTCTGAGTAGACCCACAAAAAAAAAAAAAAAAACAAAGTCTCATGAGGCCAATTTCGAACAGAAACCGGAAATACCTGTATGCCATTTTAGTTTGAAGTGGTCGTTTTAGGATCCATTTCCAAGGATTTTTCAAGGACAACTATTCCTTGACATTTATTTTAAGATTTATATCGAATTTGGGCGACATGTACTAACTAAACAGGTGATGTTGGAATTACGTGTTGGTGCAGCATGGCAGCAAAATTTAAGGACTCACAAAAAAAAAAAAAAAACACCAAATTGAAATAACAAAGCTGATCTTCACCATAAACCAGTTGCACTTGATAACTTGAAATTCACTAGTGATGTCTGTTAAGAGTAGACCCACAAAAACAAACCAAAAAAAAGCCTCAAGGCAAGAATGAAAAGACACAAGAAGTTCGCCATTTGGTTTGGAAGCTGTCATTTTGAACATTTCCTGAGATGCTTCAAATGCTAACTTGTCCTCCAGATTTGGTCCCTCTGGAATAAGGTTGCCAAATGCAAACCATATCTACTACAGATGAACGGACGCAAATATTACCCCCCTACCCCACAAAAAAAAATGGTGTCACCGTGTGCGCGGATGGAAACATACAGCAAGGTTTGATGACTCCTCATGAAACAGAAAACTCTTAATATGTCAGCTCTGGAACGTCTTGTCTGTGATGAAAGTCCCGTCCTGGGAGAGATTCATTGGCTTCTCCGACAGGCAGAAATTGATCAACACAATAAATCTCCGATTACTTTCAAAGTCTGTCAGGTGCACTTCCCAACTTCTGCATCATAATACAAGCATACATTGCTGCTTTTTCTCTTTTATTCTGAAGTTTCATTTCTAAGTTATAATTTTTTTTCACTTTTGGAAAAACGCTGCCAACAAAATCGGTCATTTTTATTTCCTCTTCCAAACCTGGTGAGAATTCCATTTAGAAGCGACCAAAGTCAGGCAGCCTTCGTAACCACAAGCCGATACACAATCTTCCCTTTTCGAATCTTCATTTGTTTGCTTCATTGATCAGCACTTGGACGGAAAAGCTCACCGGCAAGCCGTTGAGCAGACGGTGTGGCTCTGTGGACATTTATTACGCCGTGCGATCAATGCGGGTCACATGGTGCATCCACAGAGGACCAAGATGTCCTCGCGCCTTTTCGAGAAGGACCTCGCCCCCCCCCCCCCGCCACCGACCACCCCCCACCTTCACCCGGGATTCATCCACGTAGCGAAAATGAAGATTAATGGATTTTCGTGCTCTGCTATAGTTTGAAAGTGTCTTGTGACATTACAGCGTCCGCAGAGGTTTTGCTCTTAGTGGAGAAATTACAAAACAGAAAGAAGCAATGGCGTGAAAACAGCCTCACCATCGTCGGTGGAAGTTTTTGTTTTTTTTTTTAAACAAGTATCTCTACTAATACCTCAGTACAGAGTCACCTCTGTTCACTTTACAGAGCATCAGGTGTATTTTTCCTGACAAACTGTGGGGGGCTCAAGCCATGACCTACCTGAAGCGATGGGTTGGTCCTCTGTGAAAATCAACAAAGAGGCACCGGCCGATTGTCTGTAAAAATACCCGTGCGACCCTTCGCTACGCTGGCGCTTGACACATTGTGCTGAGTCAAAATTACAAGTGCCGCAAGGTCGCCCAAGGTGAATTGAGCAATAAGGATTGATGCTCTGGAAGTGAGCATGACAGAATTGCGCAATGACAATTACCAGGTAGCAAATGACACGGGGATTACCGGCACGTTTTTCCACTCAGCTCTTTTGCGCTTTGTGTTTATCCCATGCAAGTGAGGGGAGAAATTGCATGCATACTGCATGCAATGCAGTCGTGTGAACGTTCCAGACCAGAGCCGCCCACAACTGGTCAAAATCTTTGCGATAGATATAAAACAAGACGGGCTAGCTCCGTTTGACTTATTATAAACCTCCAAACAACTATTTATACAGATCTTACAAAAATACTCACAGTTTTTTTTTTTTGTTTTTTGCTCTGCTCTGTGGGTGTATTGACAAAAGGGCAAGAAAGTGAGAACTGGCGCTAAGGACTATTTAAAAATGTATCGGGGTAAAATGATTCAAAACTGTGATTTTCTATGCACTCTATAGATGGCATATTTTCACTTTTTGCGGGTAGATCTGAAACGTATCCCCGGATGATCAAAAGGAGGCCGCTGCAGGTGAATTTGGGAATAGCAAGCTACAAATTAGCGGTGGGTCACCGCATAATAGATTGGGATGCAATAAGATTCATGCGACATCTTCAACATGGACCAGAAGCATCTGCGAGGTGTCCTCTAACTCTTTGAAGCGTGATAAAATTCCCTTTCGTCATCATTTTTTTTTTTTTTTGTCAAAGATGGCCAAATGCTGGAACGCTGCCAGCTCCTGCACTTATGAAGACAAGCGGCTTAACGACATTTGGAGACTGAACGAGTCCTTGTGGAAACGAGGCGAGAATCGCTTAGTCACCGTTTGTTTTCCGTCTTAAATAGAAAAGCTTTGGCACGAGGCTGAGAGAGGAAAGACGTGTCCCCGTCTCAGGTAACGTGCACAAAGTGGCGGGTGCCGAAACACAAACCGAAGCACTGACCTCCAACAACCTCAATTCTGATATTTTGGTCCCTGAAATTGTATTCATTTATTGCCAACAGTGTCTTCTCTTCGTTTCGTTGCCATTTTTCTTTGCTGCTTTGTTTCCAGTATGCAAATGTGGGTGTTTGTTTGTTTTATTTTGTTTTACCAGACAGCTTTATCTTGGTGAGGCTCCCCCCCCCCCCCAAAACAACCATGACCACATTTGGATGGATTGAGAGAAAAGTGAAGAAAGCTATCGGTGTCAAATCTATTAATGCCACGAAAAAATTATAATTTTTTTTTCTCTGAACTCCATCAAGCATTGAAGTGGTCATTTGAGGTTTGATCTTAGCCCTGGAGAACCCACATGGTCAAATTTGGCCCCTATAAATTCTGCGACTCAAATGCTACCCTTAAATCCGAAAGGGTCAAATTTGGCCCTTATCCTAAATTGGGATTAAGGCTTTGAATATTTGAAAAAAAAACATATATTTTGGTGTTCAGTGGACATATAGCAGTCATTTAATGTATAATTCATCATTTTCCCAAGAAGAAAAGGGTTCTTGGGTTCTCCAGGGTTAAGTTGGGACTTGGTTTAAATTTAGCTTTAGAGTTGATTTAAGTTTTGGTTTAGGTTCATTTTTTGAGTCAGTTTAGGTTTAGGTGTAGCGGCGTAGGTGTACATTTAGTTTTAGGGTCGGTTCGAGATTCGGTTGACAATTGGTTTCGCTTTTATGTTTAGAGTCGGTTTATGTTTGCAGTTTAGGTTTAGAGTCTGCCGCTTCACACTCGTCCTGGAGTTGTCTTCACTTCAATTTCAAACCTTTGGCCTTCTCGAGGACGATGTTTTATAGCCCCCTTCACGCTGTCCATCAAAGTCGGCTATTTGTTACTTTGGGTTCAGGCTGTGAAAGTAAACCGTCAAATTAGGTCAGTACGTGTGTAAAAGGGACGGTGAGAGGCCACGACCAAGGTGTAAACTTTTGACACCCAAGGCTCATTTTTTGGACGGGTGTGTCAAATAAATGCCTTTACTCATCTTGTAATTCCCACTAGACTCTGTTTACAAGGGGTGTACCGGTACAGTATGTTAATGCTTCTCTTGATGCTTTTGTTTTTGGTCATTAATCCTGACCTACACCCACTTTAAGGGTCGAAATCTGGGATTCTTAGCCAGCCAGTTGGTATCGTCCAGACAGAATAAACCCGGTTACCTCCACCCAACCTTGATGGGTCACACACACCGACAGAACAATTCCCAGAGAGTCCGAGAGCGAGAGAGAGCGAGTCAAGGGCAAACCTGTTGATCTGAGCTACAGTGAGACCTGTAGCAGAACGCAACTAAGAGATTGTGATGACGCATTAGACGGTGATGGGAGGGGGGGAGGGAGGAGGGGGGGAGTGTCTGTGGAGTTGCAGAGGGTCCGGGAGGAAGGGATGGAGGGAGGGAGGGAGGTTTGATGCACAGAGAGGAGGGGAGGCAAGCGTAGAAGGGAGGGCGAAGAATAAATCCTCACTACATAATCATTAGAGCTCACAAGCCCTTCCTGTGACACGCCGCGCTGCACTTGCGCTTAGGAGTGTCCGGCGAGAGCCCCGCTGATGGTGGGCAACGGGGCACAGGTGGGAGGAAAGGAGAGAAACCAAACACGGGACAGGAAGTGAGTGAACCATCAAGACAAAAAAAAAAAAATCAGTTGAAAGGAATTTTCCAAACTCAGACGGCGGTCTTGCTTACATCTGTCCCCCCGCCCGCCTGCGCCGTCGCCATCTGTCCGGCTCCCTTGCCTGGGGCTTGCTTTGATGGAGCCGGAGCACCAGGCGAGGGTGAGGAGGGGAGGCTGGAGGAAGAAGACGACCGGGGTCACCCTGAAGGATCAACCTCCGAAGGACAGGTGTCCCCCCAGAAAGACGGAGTACCACTCGGAGGAGGATTTGTTTTGCTAAGTTTCCGCCAAGCTCTTTGGAGGTTTATTTCCCTTCCAAGCATCGATCCCGAGCCCAAAACCGGAATTATTATTCTCCCAGAGGCTGGCGAAACAGCTTTCAAATAAAAGGCTTTTGCACGCTCTGAGCACCCTGTGGGACGTTTTTACCTGAAATCGCTTTCCTGGGCCATCACGTCTCACCTTCCCAACCGGAACATTTCGCCAAAAGTGAGCGCGAAGAGCCACCATGTGTTAATTTGCTCGCTCTTGATATCGCTCCATCACGTCGCATCATCAAGCCCCCTCCCACTTCCCCCCCTCCCTTTTTCTACCACCTCCATCCCTCCTCCTCAGCAGCCAGTGATAATGTGACCTTCTGCCAAAATGCTGGAAACCATGCCGCCGCCGTCGCAGCGGGCTCCTCTGTTGCTGCTACTGAAATAGACTCAAACAAGCGGGAGGAAGGAGCGCGGAAAAGAAAAAAGAGGGGAAGAAAAAAGCGGAGGATCAAGGAGAGGAATGAGCGCTGACAGTTCCGGGCTGGATGTGGATCGCCGACACAGGTAAGAACCTTGTGAGCTGTACTACTCGATAAGAGATGCACTTCATAAAGTAGCAAGGAGTCACGTGGAAATTGTCTAGTTTTTTTTTTTTTTGGAGTCAATTGCTTGGCGGAGGAATGCGGCTCCTCTGCGGGGAATCACACATCCCGCAGGAGTGTGTCGAAAGGTGTGCACGAACTGTTGCTTTAACTTAGCGGTGGGGGGTTTGTCGGTTGGTGATGAGGCGGATACGGTCAGTAGTAGATCGATGACTCATTGTAAACAGTCCCGAGCAGCTCATTGACGGCAGCACAGTCGGCGCTTAAGAGGCACTTTGTCAGGATGTGAGAGCTTCCCGTGGAGCTTGAAGGGTACGCGCCGGCACTTGTAGCTGCTGACAAACACACGGCGGCGTCAATCGATAGTCAAGCGGAGCCGTCGGTCACCGGATTGATCAATCTGAACACGAAAGGCTTAGTTAAGGGGCGGTGCGGGGGAAAAAAAAATTAACATCGACTGACCTCAATTGTTAACCAATTTGCTAAATCTGGGCATACACTGAAAGATTTGACAAATAAATTGCTTGTGTCAGAAAGTCAACGCTAACGAGTGTTCACGTTATAGAAAGCAACTCAAAGACACAAGTGGACTGTTTACAGTGTTTGAGTTGTTGCCATGCCGCTTACGTCCTGTAGATGTCAGTAGTGCGTGTTTCAAACTGTTAGCAGTGACTAAAAAAAAAAAAAAAACGAAGATATTCCCGCCATCTGCGGATTGGGAATGCTAAGGCTATAAAGCTAACAACAAAGCAATCTGCTTCTTACTAAGAAAAGGCAAACACACACCATAACATTTCACATAAAGAGATCTCGGAAATCCAGTTGTAACTCTTGGCCCAACTGTACTATCACGGTCGAATGAATTTCAGGCGCGCCAGGAATTCAGCCGTTCATACAACAGGTCGGTAGCTAGCAATTCAAACAACCCGTGACAAGTCCTGAAATTAACGGAAAAAAAAAAGACCAAGTCGACACAGAATCCGACTTTGAACGAATTAGTGTAACCAGTGGTGTCCGACTGCATTGTGTTTAAAAAATATTATAAATATTATATAATTATTAATACACTCGGCAGGATTTCTCGTTTTGGTCGCGTTCAATCGTCTCAATCACAAAGCTTGACGAAAATAGCGGAAAATTATGTCCTCCTGGTCAAATATATATATATATATAGCGTACCCCTCCCCGTGGACATCACGAAAAAAAAAACGGGGAAAGTCAAAGGCGTGAGTTCATCTTCAAAAAAAGCCAGTGCCACATTAATTATTGAAGTAGGGGAACACGTCAAAATTTTTGTTCCACCCTTTGATAATGGAGGATATTAGTGAATGTCAGGTGCATGCAACACTTTGTTTTTTTTACTTTTCTGCCCCCCCCCGATCCCCAATTCTGCTGCTGTAGACTGCAAATTTCCCCAGTGTGGGACAAATAAAGGTTATCTTATCTTAATTTATTTTTCATTTCACAGGTTTTGTGCGATTAGAATGCAGTACAGTACGTATTTATATTATATTGTATTTATATTATATATGTTTTATTACAATACTGGCCTTGTTCCATTTGACCCGGTTCACATGAGATAATTGGGCTGTTGTCCAAATTTTGCCCCATCCCAATGGAGCGTGACAAACATCATGTTTTGGCAGATTATCATCTAAAAAAATATATAAAATATTCCCACGGTTTCAAGATTTACAACCAAGATGATCGGCGCATCTTGAGACAACCATCAATCCAAGAAACTATCAGCCAAGTCGACAAAAATAAACAATCAGGCTTTCGTGAATTTTAGAGCGCTAACAAGAAGAATTCGGAAAACGGTTCGTAATGGGTTGACCAGAATTGAGCAATTTTAATCACATAATTCAATTCGGACACCCTTTTTTTTAGGACGGGGGTGAGGAGGGGATATTTTTGAGAGGGTTCAATACCCTCAAGAGCTTTTTACGTGAGGAGGAAAATAATTCAAGCCAGCAGCCCCCCCCCCCCTCTTTCATGAAACAATTTAGTGTCCTACATTCGATCCTGACATCGCTGACCTGTTAAAATCCACACAGATTATTAGCCGAATACTCCCCGGCTTCCGTGGAAATGGGGTGGAAGTAAAAAAAAAAAAATCCAACAAAAAACAAAACAAACAAAAAAAGCAGAACATCTGAAACACTAACTCTCAAATGACACCCCGATAATGAACCGGGGATAAAATATGACTTGTTTCACCTGAGTATGAAGGGGGCGTGTAAACAGTGGCTCGGCAGTCCGGCAGGTGACGAATGGCTCTTCATTACGCTACTTCAAGCATGTCGCCGTTTGAGTAATTAGATCTCGCACAATGTGGATGTGTAAAGACAAACACATACTTTACAAGGCGGCGCAACAGCAGTGCTGATGGACAATTTTTTTTTTTGTTTGTTTGTTTCGGAATACTTTGCACGTACCGCAACCGATGGACGCTTCTCGTATGATGTGGCGATAAACTCGGGAGTCCGAACGAAAAGAAAATGAGTTTCGTGGTCAGCATGTTTCTCGGTCAACAAGTTTGCCTCGCTGGCTTTTCGTAGGCAGGCAGAAAGCGTTTTGGGAGTTGATCACCAAGACGGATGAACCGACTGAATTTATTGATCGACGAGTTTAGTTTTGATTGAGTGCATCGGGCAAATTTACTGATCAACAAGTTTAGTTTGCATAGTTGGCTTTTTCAGAAAATGTTTTCATATCCGAACAGGGAACATTTGCACTACAGTATTTTTTAAATTTTTTTTTTAAGAAATAGCAAACTGGTTGTTTTGTAGAGCATGTGTCAAACTCGAGGCCCGGGGGCCAAATCCGGCCCGCCACGTCATTTTATGTGGCCCGCGAAAGCAAATCATGTGTGTCAACTTCCATGATCCTTGCTCAAATTTGCACCGAAATGTCAGATTGCCATGTGTCATAAATAATGTTGTGATTTTGCAATAATTTGTTTCCCCTGTCGACACTCACTTAGACAATTTTCAAAACCAGTAATGGACACGGGAAATAGGAGTTTAACAATTTGCCCGTTGAAACGATCTAAAGGTTTATTTCACGGTCTTTAGCATTAAATCCAAAAACATGACCGAGCAGCATTTTCGCGTTCCTATCGCAGACCGATATGAGATTGTGGATTCTATGAACAAATTTGATGCAAAAGGCTCCGACAGATTTAACAGCGAACATTTCACGCGTTAAATTTGACTGTCTTTCGCAGGCAATAAAGTTTGTGTCGGATGTAGCATACATCTAGTTGGTACTCTCCAAATGACACCTTGAGTGCTTGCGTACCGTCACGTGTTCATAAAAACGAAGGGGGGCGGGGGGGGTTAAGGCTGGTGGGCCTGACGATATCACCAATCGGGGGACACTAGGAGTCATATTGTCAGGTGTCAGGTGGAGCTTTCTCGCACTCGCCTCTCCAGAGTTTATGGCTGCGCTCACGGGCACGCCAGAGTTCCCGGCCCATTTAAATTCATAGCACGGCATCGTTCGCACCTCCTCGAACGCATCGTCCCTGCTGAGAAGCAAAACTGACACGCCGCAAGTGAAGGAGGGGGAGGGGGAGAGGGTTTGTGGGGGGCAGGGGGGGATAACAGGCATCCTTGTCATTGTACTGGACGCCAAGCATGTGTGCACGTGCGGCACGGCTGGGGCCATGTGAGCGTTGTCATGGCGGGTAACGGACAAGCGTCATCGCTGGGAGACGTTGGACAGCGTCAATGTTTCACACGTAGCCTCGAGCAGTTTGGAACCTGCAGGAAACTTATTTTTTTGGGGTGGGGGCATTTATCTATTTTTATTCCTCGAGAAACAGAAAGTGAAATGATGTCGTTTGTATGTATTAAGGCTAACGATTTATTTCTTCTTCAAGCTGCTATTTTTAGAGTTTTCCAAATTAAAACAGTCAACAAATTCTTTTGAAAATTCACCCCCTGAAGCCATTTTGACTTCACCATGAAACTCGGCGAGTTCGCCCACAAAAGAAATTCTCAAGACGCTGTGCCTGAGAAGACACAGAAGTCTGCCGTTTTAATTTGTAGCGCCCAAGTTAGGGTCAAAGCAGACATTCAGGAAAATTCAACCTTGAAAACAGTTTGACTTCACAACATGGAATTTAGTTAGCATGAATATCATGAGGAAATTCACACAAAAAAAAAAAGTCTCATGAAGAGGAAGTCCAACATTTGGCCTCGAAGCTTCCATTTTAAAGTCATGAGAGGATTATCCTCAAAAATGTTTCAGGATCACCCCTCAGAAAAATTTTTTTTTTTGGAATTGAGCCGCCAAAGCCAGTTTCACTTGGCAGCATGAAATCTGGGACGCATGTCAATCGTGAAGAAATGCACCAAAAAAAGCCTCAACAGTCCACGCCTGAAATTTAACAGGAAATCACCCATCTTGACCTCGAGCCACCATTTCACTATTACACTCAAAACACAATTGGCTGGGTAGTGCTACTTGGAATTTGGGCAAAAATCTGTCCCAAATGTGAAACGTGGTAGACATGTCAATCACTAGAAGATCCACCAAAAATAAATATACATGTGACGTTACATATATATATGTATAACTAACATGCACAACCCACTTGAACTTTGCCATGTTGGTTTGAAGTGCATACTTGAGGGTCTTTTTGGATATTTCCAGATGACCTTCAAACACTTGAAAGAATTTGCCCTCGAGGTTTAGTCCGAATGCTACCAGATTTGAACCACATGTACTAGGCAGTCAAAAAATACTACAGTGAAATAAAGTATATTTTGTTATTTCATGTGCACGCCGAGCATCGCGATGAAGTTGACTTGCCATAAAACTCGAATAAGTCACAGTTTGACCAAAGCGTGTGTGTGTGTGTGTGTGTGTGTGTGTGTGTGTGTGTGTGTGTGTGTGTGATGATAAATGCAGCAACTCACGACTGAAAACCAAACTTCCTTCAGATTCGTTCGT